TTTAGCCAGGTTTTCATCATTTGAGGACGTTTAACTCAGTGGTGATCTGTATTGATGGTGATGTTGTGTTTTTAATTTGCTTTCAACTTTTTTCCCAAAATTTTTATTTGTTTATATTGTTAGTTAATTATTTTTTTTATTTTTTTTTTTTTTAAATTTTTTTTTGCTGTAATTATGATTCTGGTATTGCGGTGCGACAATTCAGTTGAATGGGGCTAGTTGTTTCTTTACTGTCTTCTTTCATTACTTTTGCGCCAATTTTCGAAGCTTTAAAAAAGTGATTTTTATTTTACGAAAAATGCATGATTTTCATCGCTTTTTTTTTCTGTTGCGACGATAATTAAGCAATTAATTATGATCATACGGGAGTTGAGAACTTGCAGCTTGTCATGGGCATGAAGTCGATGCACGAGCAAAAATAGGTCGTTGGTGTATCACTCGTTTGCATCTTTTTTTTTTTTTTTCTTTCGCAAACCTTGTGATTTTTTTTGTTGTTCTTTTCGTAATGCTCTGCTAGGTTTTTTCACAGGAGGCCGCAGATAGGCAGTTATACAGACCATTCAATTTGTTAACTTTAGTTACGTGATCATTAGTCATACTGTCAAGTTCAGGGATCTCTTTGATTTTGAGCACTGCTTCTCAAAAGGGGGTTCAGGATGCGCATCTTTCTGTTCAACAGAGCAGGTTTTTTTCGTGGTACTGAAACTGACTTCCCTCCAAAGTCATTTCGTCCTCAGTTCAAATATTTTTTCGTTCTGCTATTGTATAAAGTATTTTACTGACGTTCTTTTGCACATAGAGTGAAAGCTCTCAATTGCATTTAAATGTGCCGATTTCCAAATATCTTTTTTTCTGGTGGTAATTTACCTTTATTTTCTGTATATAACCTCACATAATTCATCAATAACAATTTCAGGCTTGTCCATGTGCTTTCTCATTTCCTGAGTTTCGAGTGCTTAGTTTTTGCTTTGGCTTTTTATGTTATTTCACACACTGTCCTTTTCTGATTTCAAATGGTGCAATGAATTTCAACCACAGTTTACAACTGTGTGATTTTGCGTTTAATCTGCGTAGAAGAGCTCTTTTGGTCTATTGTAAATACCTCTGCAGTCGCAGCAACGCTTATATGTGGTTAGTCATCTTTCACAGTGCAGATCATAAGGAAAACTAGAGTGTAAGAAACTTTTTTTAATAAGTGGGTTCAAAAATTTCTTTTGACTCGCAGACATTTTTACTTGCTTGTTAGTTTCGTGATCCACTGAAGCGGGAAGACGGGAAGACACCTTTTTTACTAATACATCTGATGTGTTTCTTGAGAGTATTTTTTGCTTTTCACTGTAAATAAGTTTTTTTTGAAGTCATAACGAGGTGTTGATACCTTTCAGGTTTCTTTGTAAGAAAAGTTGTTCTTATAACTTCTTAAGTATGTCGAATTTATTCATTCTTAATCGCGTTTTTGCTGCTTAGTTAACGCAAGAAGTACGCTATTCTTTGATACAAATGCTGTTAGAGGGTGAGGCGTTTTTTTTTTTTCTTTTTGCCCAAAACTGCAGATTGTTATTGTTGACCTGTAGCTTTTCTCAAGACAGCGTGCTTGAGGCTCAGCTCTCAGTTTCTTTTTTTTTTTCAGTGTTATAATTTTTTAGGTAACTGGAAACATGCTGTTTATTGTTACCTACCAAGTTAAGAGACGATTTGGGTTTCACATAAGGAGCTAGCAGCATATTTATCGTAACAATATATTGGTTATGCTCTCTGTTTAGATCTAACCAATTATAGTTGTACTTACACTGTTACGTGGTAACAAAACAGTATGTGGTTTACGCCTGTTTAGAGCCCTAATTTTGGAGATAAACATGCGTTAATGCGTCCGGGAATGAACAGAATGGACGTATTTAAAAGCTGCTAGAGTCGGTCTGGGTCTCATGCAAGAAAATTTAATTGGTTACTTGTCACAACTTAACAGAAGATTTACTCATAGCTATGAGCAGAAATTGAGCGTATAAAACATGTGAGACGAAAGGCATATAGAAAGGGACATAAAGAATTGAGAAGGAGGTTTAACTTTCCCAAGATTTACTTGGTCATAAAAAGAAATATTTAAGGTAGCGAGGCATTGGGACCTACCCAACCCAAGTCTTTGTTACTGTACTGGATCGCGAGATTAATTTGGGGTATATGCGATTTACTTATACGGTTTCTTCTCTGGGATGGTTTTCGCAATTACTGTGGTCATCATACAGATCACTTAGTTCTGTGTACAGAGCAATTGCTGTGTTTGGATAAACATATTTGGATAAACTGCAAATTAGTCAAGGGAAGTGAAAACCGCGTGCAGGAGGTTTTTGTGGGGGGCAGATATGATGGATAAAAGACTTGTTTGCTGTTCATTACATTACTGACCGCCAGGAAATTGCGTTTTAAGAGGATATAGGAGTTAAGAAGAGATTGTAGCACTAGGTGTTTAGGAAGTTGAGGAGAAGTTCACGGACAAATCTGGCAGATCGGAAAATATAGGCAAGAAATAAAGGCAGGCTAGTGGTAAATGGAGCATGTTTAGAGCGTAAACTCATTTTAATGCTGTAGTGCTTGAAAAATCAAACTAACATTTGTGCTGTAGAAGATCACATCACTACTCGGGAGAACAAATTTGGTTCCTCATTTTGAAAAGGAGCAGCGTCAGGAAATTAGGTTTTCAAGTTCAATTTTTTTCTTGTTTAATTATGGATATTTTCACAGGGATTTATTTGTTTGAATACATCAAAAAATAAATGGAGCTAGACTCGTCATTGTAGAGGGAAGTGACGTGGAATTCTAAACATTTTTCCAGGTAGGGTCGCTTGTGAAATTTGAAACAGTTTTATAATCCCGTAGAATCAGTTAGACAATAGGGGTCAAAGTGTATTTTCGAAACTCGTCTAACTGCAACAGTGCTCCACGATATTATATTGGGTCTTAACTATTTTGTAAGTGTCTGTGTTTCCCTTTTAGACGTCAAAGGCTATTTGACTAAAAAAGTGGTTGCACTGATTTTAGTTTGTTTTTTTTTTTAATATTTAAGGTTGAAATTAACGTTTATTAGAAAGCACAACTGTTTTTGCCAATTAGTCATTTCAGAAAGTCTTGTAGGAAATATTTGCAGGAGCTCTGTTTTCTGGTAAGCTTTTGAATAGTGGACGGTTATGATGACAACGTTTACAGAAAGGATTATTTTGTTTTATGTGTAGTTCTTGTACACTACGGACGAAGAATTGGAGGTGGAAGCTGTTAGGCGAGAGTAGCTTGGATGGTAATGAACTTGGTGGGTTGGGATTGAAACTGTGCTTGTTAGGTTTATAAGTTACTATAATTGCGTTTTTTTTTTTTTTTTCCTTGAAGCGTTTCTTGGGTGCGGGGAGGAACACTTAATCGTTTGCAACGCAGTTACAGGTACTGCAGTAATCTGATATCTTTTTTCTTGTTCTTGAGAGTGCAGTTACGCTGCTTCAAATGGGGAATTAACAAATTTTATCTAATCTTTAAAGAGCAGTTTTTGTTAGCGTTGAAAATCAATAGTGCTATTTGATAAATTTCATGAAAGTTGAACATTACACAGTTGTTTTACGTTAGAATGGATGTGAGGTCTCACTGACCTTTGTGGGGCAGTTACTTGCCAATCTGCGTACGCTAAACATTCTGTATAACTGCCTACGGTTAGTGAGCGTAGTTATTTTTTGGCATGTTATTTTTTTTTGTGTGCATTGCTTTGCACAACATTTCAGATGAGTATCTGCTTCTGAATTTTATCATTTTTCTTTTATTTGTTTTACTTTTTTTTCCCCGCAATAATTGGTATTAAATTCGTATTGTTTCATTTTTTTCAAATATCGCTTGTCAGTTTTTTGTATTTTCCGCTTTTTTTTTTCAATTTTTTTTTTTTTCTTTTGAGCGTATAGTTTGTTATAGTTTGCTGCTTTTACTGAGGCTGTAATATGTATATTTCTTCGTTCCCCTTTCTTTTACATTTTTTAAATTTTCGACGGACGACTTTTCAAAGTATTTTAATATTACTACTTCCTGTATTTTGATCGTTAGTTTTTTTTTGCAGTAGAGTTCGTCGCATCTGCTGTATATTGGAATAATGCCTTTGGCTCGTGACTTATTGCATCCTGATCCGCAAAAGGTATGATTTTTATTTCATTTTTCCTCTTTTTTTAAATTAATAGTTGTATGATGAGAATATGATCTTAAGGAACGTGAAAGGTGCAAACTGAAACGACTTGTACAGCAACCAAATTCATTCTTTATGGATGTGAAATGTCCAGGTTGTTATAAAATAACGACAGTCTTTAGTCATGCACAATCAGTAGTTGTATGTGTCGGTTGTAACACTGTTTTATGTCAGCCAACAGGAGGAAAAGCGCATCTTACGGAAGGATGTTCTTTCAGGAAGAAGCAGCATTAACAGGGTTGCATCTGATTATTTGTTGCTCTTTATAATTCCTTCTTGTTCACATTGTAAATGTATTGTTTTGACATGGAACTGCGGCGATAAATGTTCTTGTTATTGGAAGGCTTATGGTTGGTGTAGTAAAAAATTAATTTTTTGAAGAAGTATTTTGAACTTGGTTTGGTTTTATGGTCTGTGTTAGTTTTCAGAAGCTGCTATTGTGTCTTCTGAGTCCACTTTTTTCCTGCGGTATTTTTTATTTTATTTTATTTTTTTTTTTTTGAAGATGTGATGGGTTGCTCTGAAAAGAGAATTTACTTTTTCAGAAGTATTCTTTAGAATTATTCGGGTTCTGTTAAACTTTTCGTTTACTAGTGAGAAGTATGAGGCCCATATAATTCTTGTTTCGAACATTATTTCAGTCTAATACTGCTCATTCAGTCATGGATTGTCACTGGCTTGATACGCTAAGAAAAACTGGTATTTTATTAGAGGAATTACTTCTCGGGTTTTTCACACTTATTACTGCCAACAGTTTCTTCGTTCTTCTAATACCCTGGAGCCAAACGTGCTGGCGGACAGTGGTCGCAGCTGCCCGGGGAGCCGTTGTTTCCTGATGCACCAGGTGGACCCATCGGTCCTGGAGGTCCAGGAGGCCCTGTAAGCAATAACATTGGTTTTGGCTACGCTAGATGTAATGTTCTCACAAGGTCTACTTTGGCATTAGGATTGGCGGGCCTGTGAGCTTTAGATGTGACGACTTACCGCGTGGTCCTGGTTCGCCGGGTGGACC